GAATCGCACGTTCAATCTCTTTCATGCTGATGACCTCAGTGTCATCGAGGTACGTGTCTGGCGTGCCAATCACAGCGTCACCCCCGGATCCTTCACTAAGATCATGACACGCATACATTTCTCTGTAAAATTCACTCCATCGCTGCATGACGTCCGATTTTTCTGAGAGGACGTCATTGGTTCTCAAAAGCACTTTGTTCATTCTTAAGGCTGTCGCACCATTCCGGGACCTTCTAACCTCTTTCCAGAAGAGTTTGGAGTTTTCCTTAAAGTTGTGCGACAACCTCTCGTCCGCTTCTATTCTACACCTTTCACGTACTTCCTCAATCAATGTTTTCGCATGAACTTTCTGCAGCTTATATCTTTCTTTCATCTTCTCTCTCATATGCTTATCGTTACTAGGGGCCAAGTAGTCTAAGCATGCTTTTTTCTTCTTTTTTTACAGCTTCTCTCACTTCATCATTCCACCATGCATCTCTTCTTTTACTACTACCTCTTTTTGTCGTTCCACATAATTCTTCCGCTGCACTTACCATTCCATCCCTAAGGTTCTGCCATGTTCTCTCCACACATTCTTTCCTGCCATCTATAGTGTCAAGCTTTTCGGCTACCCTTGTGAGATATTTGTCCCTTAGATCTGCTTCCTGAAGCTTCCAGCTTCGGATGCGACAGACCGACTGTGGTTCTGTTACTGCCGTCCGGTAGCGCCAACCCGCGAACAAACCCCTAAATCTAGTAATTACTAGATAGTGATCCGTTCCCAGGTCAGCACCCCTGAACACTCGTGTATCCATCACCTGTTTTCGCAGTCGGTCATCCACCAGGAACAAATCAGTCATACTTCTCTCATTCTTTCTTTCTCTAGTGTACATATGGATTTTCCTGTGATTAAACATAGTGTTTGTAACAAGAAGACCCTTTTCCTTGCATACAGCCAGTATTAGCTTGCCAGCATCATTAACCCTTTTATCGCCAAACTTTCCAAGCACCGACTCGTATCCTGGTCGAGCGATACCTACCCATCCATTCAAATCACCACATACAACAGTTCTTTCGTTTCCCTTAACCAAATCTAGAACTTCTCTTACATTCTCCCAAAACTCCTCCAGCTCAGCCCTGAACGACGAAGCTACCGGCGCATAAACAGCCAAAAGGAATAACTTCGTCAGTCCCAGTTTAAAGCGAACCCAGAGAAGTCTTGAGTTCACAACCTTGTATTCAGTCATAAGATCGACCAACTGGGACGACAACAGCACCCCCACTCCCTGGCAGGCGTTCTCGCTTTCCGGGACTCCGGACCATATAGCTAACGTTCCGCCAGGGAGCTCTTCAGTACCACTGCCTTTCCGTTTGGTCTCCGACATACACACGACATCTAATTCTCTTTCTTTCATTATTTCGATCAACTCATTCGTCTTATCTCTCATGCCCCCTCTAACATTCCACGTGCCAACTCTGCACTCCGTCCTCCACCTTCCACCGTGTCGGGCTGTGCGTGACGTGTGGCGGTTCCCATCGCCGCTTTGCGCGCTGCATTCCACACCAACGGGGACGAGCTGGTGTGCATCGCCTTGGGGGGACGCCCTAACTCTCGTTTGCATGGGTGCGCAGCTGTGTAGAATTGCAGCCCTGAAAAGGGCAGGCAGGGGCCGCGACGAGCACGCTCCTACAATGACCCCCTTTATTTTAAGTTTTTAATGTAATGATTTCTTATATTTACGCGAACACTATACATGATTAAAACTACTTTTACGGATTTTATCGCGTTTATTTTTACTTTTTATTTACTTTTATTTTTAATTCCCGACGTTTCGGGCGCTTTCCAGCACCCATGGTCACGGGGGACTGAGATGACTGACGTCCCGATGTCATTGTTAAACCCGGAGTACCTTCAGCTTTTTTAATTATTGTTTATGGTCCGATCTATGCAAAATGAACTGACTGTGTCTTGAGGTCTTGCAGTGGTATGCTTGGGTTTAGTTTTAATTTTATTGATTATAGGATCCCAAGCAGGTGGTAGTACCCAGCCTCCTTCTCTATTGAAATTAGGATGTTTTTTAATTTCAATAGCCTCACGTATCATCCTTGGTAGGAATCGGTGTTCTTTCGCGAAGATTTGTGGTCTATCAAATCTGATGTAATGGTTGGGTCCGTCTAGGAATATGATCACAAACTGCAGACTTCCCGGTACGTTGATGTTTCACATCAGCTACATGTTCTTTTACGCGGGTCCTAATTGATCTTTTTGTTTGTCCTATATAAGAGAGACCACATTCACAATCAAGCTTGTACACTCCTGCATCTTGTAGAGGAATATGACACTTGACGGATGGTAGGAACTGACTAATCTTCTTCGGCGGCTTGTAGAATGTTCTAATAGAAGCTCGCTTCAAGATATAGCCAATCTTGTCTGTGACACCTCTGACATATGGTAGTACAGCAGGCACACGCTCGACTGTGGCCGGCTTCACTCGGTCACTGTGACGTAGGCGTGGGACCCGAAGCTTGGTGGGACTCGCTATAGGAGTTGTCCAATATAAGTATAAATAAAAATTCCAGCCCTAAAGATGGGGACGAAGTTTTTAATGGAACTATATTTAGACGACATCGAGATTGTGATGGTTTTAGTAAAATCATTTATGTTTCTTAAATAGTTCTTTAAAGTTGTGTTTACTTTTATCAAAAGTTTTTTTGAGAGACAATAACTTGAGTCCATTAGGTTTTGATAAGGCTGTGTGGCACAATGTTTAGTGTATTCACTTTATTCAATCTAGGGATCTAATTTATGCCGGAATTTGACTATTCTAGATGCGTGTACACTGCGTCCTTAACACTTTGCATTTCTCCTACTTTATTTTTATGTCGAGCACAGTATTTTTGATTTAAAAGCAGATCTATGAAATACTAGCGTGTCTGTACACGCTAGAATTAAATTTTTAAATTTAAATGAACGACTTGAATAGTGCATATTGATAAACGTATTAAATTTAAATGATTTAAGTGATGTATACAGATATGGCATTTCATGATGCGATACTTGGTATGTAAAGTATGTTTTATATAATAGCAAACAAAGCTGTTTTTTACAAAATAAATTACAAAGATTATTTAAAAAAAGACGTTATTAGCTTAGCTAGCACCTCACTCAGAGGAAATAGACATCCTTTGTTGCCTTTGAAATACTATACCGCATTTTCATACCGGTCATTTGCACCGAATTGAGTTAGGGATTCGCTTTAGAGAAAATAACACAGAAAATAAGTGGACAGTATGGCGAAAATCATAGCTGTAATAGAATATGAATAAAAAAGAAAAAAAAATTACAATTTTATAAGAAAGATTTATTAAATTAGCCATGAATCGCACCCATACGACTGAGTATTTCTTCTTAATTGTCAGTCAATCTACTGCTGAACAAAGGCCAAGAAATATTACGACAATGCCAAAGCACGGTCCTGATTTTTCAAATTGTATTTTATTGTATTACGTCGACGAAATAAATGTATTTCATTTTATTTCATCGTCTTCTTGAATTAGCACGTTGTCATTCCATCGGTTTTAACATATTTTTTCCACTTCTTCATCATTAGCACGATAATATCCATGGCTGAATGTGGGCCTCTTCTACATGCACTGTGTACTGACGCATCGCATATTTGAGGATCGCCATTTTAAGTGTGTGTGTGATAAGTTATTCCAGCATTTATCGGCAACTTTTCAATTTCGTCACTTCTATTTAACACCTTGCCTCTAGGGAAAAGGTATCAAATAAATTCGAAAATAATTTCGTCATCCCAAATCGATCTTATTTGATTAATTTATAAGGTCTGAATTCGACGGCATTTTATAATTTTTTTAAGTTTGTCTATTAGCAAGCTATGTTTTACTTTCGACTGCACATTTATAAATTATTATAGATTATTAAGCACTTGACATAGACCTTAGAGTAATAACATGCAAATAACTGTACATCATCATCATCATCGTTACAGTCCTTCACAAGTCTTTGTGAATGCCAAAAACACTGTCTCGATCCATCTGCATACATCAACTTCCTGCATGTCTTACCAGGTTCTCACGCCATGTAGCGTCGCCCCACACTTCACCTACCGGCTGCCACTTGAGATCTTTTTTCCCCATTAGTTGTCGATTCTTCGAGCTATATGGCCGGCCATTTCTAAAATATTTATACTTGTACTTATTCTGAGATATCAGCAATATGAACGGAAATAATGTGTCGTTTTATATAACGTATTTGTAACACTAATTATATATAACTTTTACATCTTTATATATAAATAAAGTTGTTTGTCCGCGATGGACTCCTAAACTACTTAACCGATTTTGATCAAATTTGCACAACGTGTGCAGTTTGGTCCAACTTGAGAGATAGGATAGCTTACATTTCAATTCATATTCGCAATGTTATTTTATTCCAAATTATATTTGTATGTAATTTGACAGTCACAATAACGCTTTCAAGCGCATTGACGCATGTGCAGTACGTACCCGTACTGCGCATTTTGAAATGGTTCCTTTAAAAAACAAAAAAGTCTCAATAAAGCAATTTACATTTTTGCAATACGTTAGCGATGACATGTTTTGTCAAAATTACAGGAATAATATTTTGATTACTGAAGTATAAATTAAATTCATATTATAGTGAAGATAATACAGTGAAATTATTCCTGCTTTTTTTAATTATTAGTGCTTCGTTGTTCAAAAATCTTTAATTAAAATAATATATAATACATGTAAGTATTATCACATAGTATTTTGATGGTCATGAGGTACTAAGGCTCCAAGATCTAAATAAGTCTGGTTATTTGTCACAAAAATGGTTGGTATTTATTGTCCGCTTGCTTCTCATGTTATTTATTTATTAATATTTTTTTTATTCAAACTTTATTAAAATTATTTTCAATCATTATTTCAATGTGATATAATAGCATGTTTTTAATTTTTTTAATTTAAAAGTTTAAATTATTATTTTCAGTCAAATGCCACCGAAAAAATATAATCTCAATAACGCGAGGGGCAGAGAGGCACGACGCAAACGTGTTGAAAGTGCTCATCAGTCGGCAGAACAATTCGAAACAAGAAATGCAGATCAAAGAATCAGGACAGCAGAGAGTTGTGCACAACAACATCAAGAACAGCGTGACGAACGTCTGCGACAGACTATTATGAGAACAAGAGCAGCACGAGAGCAAAACATGGCTACAGCTCGAGTACAAGAACGACAGAGGCAGCGGGCCAGCCGCTCATTATCACGAGCATCATTTGTTCGTCTTGCTTTCGTATATGCACCAGATATTAACTACTCTGCGCAATCAAAAATCGCTATCGGTACAATGGATAAAGTATGTCAATATTGTCAGGCATTGAAATTTCAGAAAAAACACACCCGGCAGGTGCTGCGCATCGGGAAAAGTTGTGCTGTCACCTCTACCCATTCCGCCGGAACCTTTATTATCCCTTCTTGCTGGCGATTCAGATGATTCAAAATTATTTTTGCGAAGATTCGAGACGTCATTTGGAGCAACTAAAATTTGCGATTTCGCATCTGATGGACGTAATTTTGAAACGACATTTAAAATACAAGTCCAGGTGTAACATCGAATCGGGTCTATGATGCCAATGTCTGGTATCATTATCATTCATCATTACAGCCCTTCACAAGTCCACTGCTGAACATAGGCCTCCCCCAAGTAATGCCACAAAGCACGGTCCTGAGCCACCTGCATCCATCGACTTCCTGCATGTCTTACCAGGTCGTCACTCCATCTAGTGGGGGTCGCCCTACACTACGCCTACCGGTACGAGGCTGCCACTCGAGAACCTTTCTTCCCCATCGGTTATCGGTTCTTCGAGCTATATGGCCGGCCCATTGCCACTTCAGCTTACTAATCCGTTGGGCTATGTCGGTCACTCTGGTTGAATCCGTGGATTGACTCCAAGTTGAATCCGTCGATTGACCTCTCGGTCGAAGTTGGACTTACCTAGTCGGACTATTTGTCCCAGGTAAACGTACTCGTCAACAACTTCGAGCATAGTGCTCCCAACAACTGCCGGCATAGGTGTGACATGGACATTAAACATGATCTTTGTTTTGTCCATGTTCATCTTAAGACCTATTTGTTGGGAGACACCATTGAGGTCATTGAGCATAGTGCTAAGGTCCTCCAGCGATTCTGCCATAAGGACTAAATCGTCGGAAAATCGAAGGTGAGTGATGTACTCGCCATTGATGTTAATACCGTATCTTTTCCAATCCAGTAGCTTGAAAACGTCTTCCAACGCAGCGTTGAAGAGTTTCGGGGATATAACATCACCCTGTCTTACACCTCGCTGCAGTTGGATAGGTTTCGAGCTCTGGTTCTGTACTCGGATAGCCATCGTAGCCCTACTGTACAAACACTTCAGCACTTCAATATACCGACAGTCAACTAGGCACTGCTGAAGAGACTGTAGCACCGCCCAAATTTCGACGGAATCAAAGGCTTTCTCATAGTCCACATACGCCAGGCAAAGTGGCAGATTGTACTCTTCGGACTTCTGTACAATTTGCCGAAGGGTATGTATGTGGTCTATGGTACTGAAGCCTTTTCGGAAACCGGCTTGTTCGGGAGGCTGGAAGTCGTTGACTCTGCGTGCGAGACGATTCGTAATGACTCTCGAAAACAGCACGTAGACGCGGCTTAGAAGGGAAATCGGTCTGTAGTTCTTCAAGAGAGCGTTGTCGCCTTTCTTAAAGAACAAGGCCACCGCGCTTCTGTTCCACGTCTCCGGAGTAGTGCCACCATGGAGGACGGAATTGAATTGAAGGAATTCAAGTACCGGTGTTCCACCCGCTTTCAGAAGCTCCGCTGTAATTCCATCCTCGCCCGGGGCCTTGCCGTTTTTAAAGTGGTGGAGAGCCATTCTAATCTCGCTCAGACTGACGTCCGGGATATCATCGGAATAGTGTCGGATAAGACTTGCTCTTGGATCGTTACTAACACTTGCGTGTGGCTCCAACGATGATGTGTACAGCTGCCCATGGAACCTCTCAATCTCACTCAGAGTCTCAGGTGTCCTGGAAACGATGTTGCCACACTCAGTCTTCAGCCTTGACAGTTGGCTCTTTCTGGCAGACATATCTCTGGCAAAGACTTTGGAGCCCTGGTTCCGCTCGATCGCTTCTTTAACACGAGCAGTATTAAAGTTGCGTAAGTCTCGCCGCATGCATTTGGAGATCTGACTGTTCAGTTGCCTGTATGCTGTCAAATCTGTTGACGATTGCAGCCTCATCTCCCGTCTAACAGCCATGAGATTAAGAGTGTGATCGGAGAGTTTTTGTGTTCTTCTGCGGCGGGTCTTGCAGAACTTAGCTCCGACCGCATGGACAGTTTCCACGAGCTTGTCATTCATATCGTCCACTGCATTGCAATCCTCTAGGCACTGAAAGCGGTTTTGTAATTCGAGCTGAAAGGTTTCGGGATTCTGGATTAGAGCACGAGGGGGACGGAGCGTTGACTTCATTAGACGAGACCTCTCCAACTTAACATTTAGGTTCAGTGTACCTCTAACCATTCGGTGATCGCTGCCAGTTTTCACCCTTGCGATCACTGAGACATCACTGAACAGTTGGCGTCTGGTCGTCATAATGAAGTCAATCTCATTTTTTGTCGAACAGTCGGGGCTCGACCAGGTCCACTTCCTGTGGGGCCGCTTCTGGAAGAAAGAGTTCATCATAAGGAGTCCCTCTTTCTCCATAAAGTCGGCCAGCTGCTGGACCCTTCGGTTTCGTTGCCCTACTCCAAATTTCCCCACCTTCAGCTCACCGCATTCTCTTGTGCCTAGTTTTGCGTTGAAGTCTCCTATCAACACCGTGTAGTGGGTTTTGGAGGAATGCATGGCTCTGGAAATATCCTCATACATTTCCTCCACCTCCTCATCAGGATGTGCCGAGGTTGGTGCATAAACCTTTATGACCTTCAACGAATACCGTTTGGTGATTCTGAGTATCAGGTACGTGACCCTCGTCGACACACTCCCAATCTTTACAACGTTGTTGACGAGAGACTTGTGGACGATAAATCCGACACCTCCTTGGGACAGATGGTCGCCCTCCCGGTTGTAGAACAAGTTGCCGGACTCGAGGATTGCCGTAACCTCCCCCTCTCTTCGGACCTCGGATAATCCAATAATATACCAGCGCAACTTGTCTACCTCTTCTTCCAGCTCCAGTATCTTCTCGTCAGTCCTCAGAGTGCGTGCGTTATATGTTGCCAGGTCGAGTCGTCGTAGGTGGCAACCGAACCTCCACCGGAGATTCTTAGCACCCCCTGCCCCGCCGTTACCATGGTCGCCACCGTAGCCAGGAATAGCGGGGCCGCCGGGGACTAGGGGCCGTTTTTTTTGCGTCATTATTCATGGGGGATATTTGCCATAGTTGCCACGCTTGGCAAGCGGGTTGGCAACCGCAGTTTTTTATTATAACACAGTTGTTATCAGGAAGATGCTGCTGCCCATCTCCTGCCTGTCTGCCTCTGTCGCCTCTTACGACACCCACGGGAAGATATGGGGTAGTGGATATTCTCAACCGCCACTACACGGCACTCACGGAAATGTCTGGTAATGATTTGAAATTTCTTCAAATTTATTTTATGGGTAATTGAAAAGAGCGCGTGACAACTCGGTGCTAGTATAATTTCATTGAACAAGCAGAAGAAAAAGGAATTGTGATTATGCTGGAAAAATTTTTAGAAGATCATAATGAACTAATTAGATTGATTAAAAGAGTTTCGCCACGACTGCAAAATGACAACTATCAAGTCGTCATAAAAGCCGACAAAGTACAATTAGGTGAACATGCTGGCAGATTCAACGCTCCTACTGTTGATGAGGTCGCTATTATTATGGTTGGTGATCCAGTTGACAAAAGAGCTATAAAAATTACACGGTGCGACAACACTGTCAGTACGATTTCAGATCTACACCGTTCATATGACGCACTACAATATCCATTAATATTTTGGCAAGGACAGGATGAATATCACCTTAACATCAAACAGTGTGATCCAAATACCGGTAAATTTGACAATTAACTATTTAATATCTTACTGTGTGTGTGTGTGTGTATTTTAATTTCTTATTTTATTTTATTTTTTATTGTTTTTAGGTGCTAAAAGAGATAAAAACGTTATTTCAATGAACTACTACGCACACCGATTGATGATAAGACTATATCAGGACAACTATATCCTTCGATATCGTCAGCTATTCCATCAATACATTGTTGATATGTATGCTAAGGTTGAAAGCTAACGCTTGCGATTCATTCGATACAACCAGGCTAAATTAAGATCGGAAGAATACATTCACTTACGAGATGCTGTTGTTGGAAATATCGACGGAAATTTAAATCCCAAAGACATCGGTAATGTTTTTACCTTCAGGCTACATCGGCAGTCCACGGAATATGCAGGAATACATACAAGATGCGATGACTTACGTACGTTATTACGGCCGACCAGATTTGTTTATTACATTTGTAGCAGCCAGATTAATCAAACCGAAACGGGAATAAATAATATATACTCCGCTGCTACCATAACGCGGAAGGCGAGAATAAATTTTATTTCCTAATTATTCTTGGCTACTGAGATACTGCGGACTGTATATAGATAATTTGACGTTCTTATAAAGAAACAAGAAGCAGCCGCAAATATCATTCAGCGCCACACCGACTTCACACGCCGCTATCGTCACGTATCCGTCGACCAATGGTGAGCCGTTTCTTCAACGCCGCAGTTCGTTTCCTCTTGCTGTTCCGGAGCTGTATTCCACACCGCCGCCGCCCGCCGACTACGCGTGCGCACCGATCTGCATGTCTTATATAGCCCGGTCCAGCGACGTAGCTTCGTGAACAACAAACAAGTCTCACGCCGGGAAACGAAACGTAGATAATTGTATATTTTAAATAGTTTTCATTGGTCATAAAATAAGCAATATAATTGGCTAGGCAAAATATTAATTGTTACCATTGGCAAATCAATAGTGAGCCAGCCATATAAATATAGGCAAGGTTGATGCAAAATATATTCCATTCCGAATCCCATTCGACAGTACATTCATAAACATAAACAGTAGTTTCATTTCTCCACCTTAAAGAAAACCACTCGGAGTCTGTTAATAGTGGACAGTTCGTCTCCACTATTACAGTGGTGACCCCGTACGAACACCGAGGGGGAAGATCCGGTACGAACACCAAGAAGGAACACCCTGCGACGTACCACTACTATTGCACGAACACCGCGAAGGAAACCCGTACGAACACCGAGAAGGAAGACTTCAGTTTATATAAAATCAGTGTAATCAAGCCGTCATTATGGAGCAGGAGGCAAACACATATACATCAAACCCGGTAAAGGAACCAGAAATCGCCGGTATATCTCTATCGTTAAGAATACCAACGTTTTGGAGAGACAAACCACGACTTTGGTTCGTCAGTTTTGAAGCCGCAACGAATGGTTTAAAGAAGAGCCAAGCGCAATTAGCACAGATGGTGATAGCCCAACTTGAGAAACAAGACATCGAACAAATTGCGGACCTGTTGTACAACCCACCAGCAGTCGACCAGTATAATTCACTGAAGGATCGGCTGATCTCCGCATATGAAGAATCCGACAGTCGACAGCTACAAAAACTTCTATCAGAAATAGAACTTGGAGACCAGAAACCCACACAACTCCTACGCAAAATGCGTACTTTGGCGCGAGATAAAGTTCCGGATTCAACACTACGGCTAATGTGGGTAAACGACCTACCACCACATATTCGATCGGTAATAGCAGTCAGCGAAACATTCAGCACGCAGACGAAGCTCGACGAACTGGCACTCCTGGCGGACAAGATGATCGAAAACAGCAGTAGCTCACACATATCGATCATCGAAGGCACTTCAACAAAGGCCAATGATACCCAGTTTCTTCTCGAAGAAATTCGGAAGCTATCATTCGAAGTCGCCGCGCTCAAAGCTTCCCAGCATCATACCTTTTACCAGCAACAGTACAACCAGCGCAATCAGCAACACCGAAGATCACCTTTTCGTCGCAACCGCTCTGCAAGTAGAAGTCGAATAAGCTCAACATCAAGATCCCCTTACTGCTACTATCATCGACGTTTCGGGGTCGAGGCAAGAAAATGCACAGCACCGTGTACATTCAAAAATGAAAATACGAATACGGAAAACTAACTAGTACGCTCGATGCGACGGGATCCAGCGTAACAGCTAAGTCCTACCGTCTTTTCGTCACCGATAAAAAAAGCAAGCTCACTTTCCTTATCGACACCGGAGCAAATATCTCAGTGTTACCGCCGAAGCAAGGACAGAAGTTGAAGCCACTAGATTTTCAACTCTATGCAGCAAACAATACGGTTATTCCTACATATGGAGAAAAAACAATGGAACTTGATTTTAATCTACGCCGACCATTCAAATGGAGATTTATCGTCGCTAAAGTCAGCAAACCAATCATCGGTGCTGATTTTCTTCAACATCACCAGTTGGTCGTCGACATCAAAAATAGAAGAATCATCGACGGGAAAACCAATCTTGCATCTCAGTCTTTTGTACAAGCAACCAATCTGCCCACAATAAGAAGCATAGATGTGCAACAACCGTATCACAAGATCCTCGAAGAATACCCTGGTATCACAAGAATAACTTCAATGAAATTAACACCGAAGAACGACGTTGAGCATTTCATCGACACCAATGGACCACCACTTCATTGTCGTGCACGTCCAATCGCACCACACCTATACGAGCAAGTTCGAAAGGAATTCGAAAACATGATTGAGCAAGGAATATGCCGTCCAAGCAAAAGCCCTTGGTCATCACCACTTCACATTGTACCGAAGAAGAACGGAGAATTACGAGTTTGTGGAGATTACAGAAGACTGAATTCTATTACCACTCCTGACCGCTACCCAATACCGCGAGTCAGGGATTTCACTCATCAACTATCAGACAAGACTATATTCTCCACCATCGATCTCAACCGAGCTTACCAACAAATAAGAGTCCGCGATGAAGACATAGAGAAGACAGCAATAATTACCCCAATGGGATTATTCGAATTCCCAAGAATGATCCCAGGATTAAAGAACGGAGGTCAAACTTTCCAAAGATTCATACACGAAGTACTTCATGGACTGGATTTCGTTTTCGCATTTATTGATGATCTCCTTGTTGCAAGCCCTGATAAAGAAACGCACGAAACCCATCTACGCACCGTGCTACAGCGATTAGAAGACAACGGAATCACAATCAACCCTTCGAAATGCATATTTGGACAGCAAGAAGTTCAATTTCTTGGTTTCACCGTCAGCAAGGAAGGAATAAAACCGCCTGCCGAAAAAGTCAGAGCAATCATCGATTATGCAAAACCTAAAACTATCGAAGAGCTAAGGCGTTTTCTTGGGATGATAAATTTTTACAGAGAACACATACCTAAAGCCGCTGAAATCCAAGCACCACTTCACGCCTACCTTCACAACACGAAGAAAAAAGATAAAACGTCAATCGAATGGAACGATGAAGCCACGAAGGCATTTGAAGCTTGTAAAATTGCGATCCAAAATGCAGCTTTACTCGCTCACCCATCACACGAAGCAACCCTTGCTATCTTCAGCGACGCATCCGATCTCTCAGCAGGAGCAGTTCTCCAACAATACAGCAATGGGAAATGGCAACCACTTGGATATTTTTCGAAGAAGTTCTCCGATACTCAACGTAACTACAGTACATTCGACCGAGAGCTACTCGCTATTTACATGGCTATCAAGCACTTCAGAAAAACGTTCGAGGGTCGAAACCTGATCGTTTTTACCGACCACAAACCATTAACATATGTACTTCCAAAGAAACCATCACTATCGGAAACACCACGAAGAGCAAGACAACTTATTTTCATAAGTGAATTCACGACCGACATACGTCACATCAGTGGAAAGGACAACATAGTTGCCGACGCACTCAGTCGCGTACCAATCGACAGTGTAACGTGCCCTACATCAATCGACTATCATAAGATCGCCGCAGCACAAGACAGAGATAGTGACAACATAAAACATCTATCGAAGCAAGGTAACTTGTCCATCAAGCAAGTTACAATGCCAATGACGCATCTACCTATATACTGTGAAGCCTCAACGACAACCATGCGACCATACATACCAGAAGAATGTCGTCGCGAAGTCTTCAATACACTGCACAACATTAGTCATCCAGGTGTTAGAACAACAAGAAAACTCATCACTGAAAAATTCTTTTGGCCTGCAATGCAAGCGGATGTTGGCAACTGGGCGAAGCAATGCATTCAATGCCAAAAATGCAAAATACAAAGGCATACATCAAGTAGTCTAGCTACATTTCCACCCACGGAGAGATTCGAACACTTGCACGTTGACATCGTTGGACCATTACCTACTTCACCGCAAGGACATCGTTATCTCGTAACAATGATCGACAGAACAACAAGATGGCCAGAAGCAATACCTACCGATGATACTTCAGCCGAATCCGTCGCGAAGATAATTTATGAAAATTGGATTACTCGTTTCGGATCACCTAAAACCATCACAACGGATCAAGGAAGGAATTTCGAAAGCAACCTATTCCTCAAACTTCTTCAAACTATGGGAATACAGAAGACGCGTACAACAGCATACCATCCTCAGTCAAACGGAATAATCGAACGATGGCATCGTACATTAAAGACTGCACTCAAAACTCGTTTATCTCAACATACAAAGTGGATTGATGAGCTACCTACAGTGCTACTCGGACTACGAGCAACACCGCGTGCAGACACTAGTCTTAGCGCCGCTCAGCTAACCTACGGCTGCAGCATAAGGCTGCCGTGTGACTTCTTCAGTTCAGCAGCGTCAAACAAACAAGAAATGGATTACGATTTCGTAACTAAACTTCGAGAATCAATTAACAAAGCCTTATCGTTGAAATACACCGAAATGCAATCACACAGAAATAATAAATCAGTATTCATTCACCAAGATTTGAAAACATGCAAACAAGTTTTTG